CTGCGCCAAAGGTTCACCACTCGAAGGGATCGAGTGGACTGGAACACGGATGCACACCAAGAAGGGTGCATCCAAGAAGAGAGATCAGTGTTGTTCAGGATGAACAACATGCTGAAGCGAGATCGACCAACACAGAGTCGATCGTAAAGCAACCCCGATCGACCGAAAGAGAGTCGATCGAAGAGGACGTGACTGTGGTAGTGCACCCAAAGTCAGTACACGTTCCAGAGTTTCTGAGAGTGATAACTCCCGAGAGAGTTATGTTGAGGGTGTGGATTCCCGACCATCTGCGGATGTGTTTTCCCAGGAAATTACCGAGTCAGTGAATATCTTGGTGAATGACGGATCAAGTGTAGGCGCTTATACACTTTATCTGCTTACACCTCCGAAGTCAGCTTCGGAGGTAATCAAGTTGCCAACGCTAGAATCTAAAAGATTCTTGCGAGATCTGCGTAGTGACAAGATCAAGAAGATCTGCGTACTCGTCACAGAGGACGAGTACGTTGCCGACATTCTGTCGGCACAAGTGTTTGCTAAGAACGAAAATGTTCTCAGGAGCTCATCAATGGACGAGAGTGTACTCGATGAGAAGACTCGGATTGAGCGATACACGTCTCAATCTTAAAAGTGCCTTGGAAGAAAATTCCTTTGTTTAAGGATTTGGTAGAATTCAAAGATGTTTTCCCTGAATCTGTGCCATGCGAGCTGCCTAAGGACAAAGGCACTTGGCATGAGATCACACTGAAACCCAGTTCGAATTACTGTGTCATGAAGCAGTGGCCACTACCTCGTGAACAGGTCACAGCGATCGACAAATTCTTTGCCGATCGCTTAGTTGCGGGTCATGTGAGGGAATCAACATCCCCACACAGCTCTCCGAACTTCTGTGTGCGAAAGGCCATAGGAGGGTGGCTGATAGTGCACGCGTTCAACAAATTGAACGCTGCAACGGTACCGTCTCAAACGCCGATAACGAGGAAGGACGTCATCATTGATGGTATGCAAAATGCACCATCTTTTCGTCCATGGATATGATGGATGGATTCTATCAGATCCTCATGCGTGAACGGGACATCCCGCACACAGCAGTGAGCACCCCAGTGGTACGCTCTGGGAGTAGCTAGTGATGCCACAGTACATAAGTAACGCCCCTGCAACGTTCAACAGATGTGCTACGAATCTTTTGCGATTGGTGCGAGTCTTCGCACCGAGTTACTTCGACGATGTCTTCGTCCACAGCCGGGCTATGGATGGAAAGACGGACGCGGAGGTTCATTGAATCCACGTCCGGAAGGTTCTTACACTAAGGCGAGAGCATAAGTTGTTCGTGACCTCACGAAGTGCATATATGCAGCGAACGAAATACCACTTCTTAGCTGCATCGTAGGTAAAAACGGCGTACGCCTTGATCCGGAAAAGATTATGACGATTAGCGACTGGTCTGTGCCAGTCGACGTCAAGGGACTTCGAAAGTTCCTTGGCTTAGCTACGTACTTGCCCACGTACTTGCGCAACTACGCCTATGTGACCGTACATCTCTCTCGTCTACTAAAGAAAAACGAGATACGATCACGGAGTGCTGAGTGTCAGCACTTCTCCGAAGGTATCAAGAAAAGCTTGATACAATCTCCTGTGTTGATGATTGCAGACCAGGACAGACCGTTCCATGTGGTCTGTGACGCCAGAGATTTTGCGATCAGCTGCGCGTTAATGCAGTACAACTCAGACGGCGTTTAGCGCGTCGTCTGTTATCAATCGCTTCAGCTTCAAGCAGCTGAGCGTAATTACCCAGTGCATGACAAGGAACTTCTTGCCATGAAATGTGCACTGGCTAAGTTCCGGGTACATCTTTTAGGAGATAGGCCCTTCATCGTTTATACCGACCATGCGTCATTACGCACGGCCATAAACAGTCCACACCTCTCGCAGCGAATGGCAAGGTGGCTGTCTTTCTTCGCGGAGTACAACTTCTCCGTCGAGTATAAACCAGGACGAATTAATGTCGTCGCTGATGCTCTTTCGCGTCGGCCCGATTTTGAGCCGAATGTTCAACACAACAGTAGGGGTAATCCCACTGTAGCGACACTAACAGTGAGTGTTCCGTCGTCGAATCCGCTCGATGACGTGCGAAAAGCATACGCAGAAGATTAGTCTCTTCTGCGAATTATGGATACCGTGTCTAATCCGTGCGGTCAAGCTTTGAAAAGCTTGACGTCTCAATACCGCCCTTCAACCGAACAGTATTCTGTTCGTGATGGACTGCTGTACTATACAGCAGCCAATGGAGACACGCCTCGTGTCGTCGTTCTCGCTCATGATGATTTTCGATTGCGCATCATGTATGAACGTCACGATGCCCCAACAAGCGGGTATCACGGTAGAGAAAAGACCTTACCTCACGGTCAGTCGTGACTTCTACTGGCACCGCCAGTATGAGTTTGTGCGCAAATACATTCGCGCTTGAAAAGTTTGCCAACGAGTGAAGCCTATTCCATCATCCCGTGCACCCTTGCAGCCTCTACCGGTTCCGGCAGAGTGCTAGCAGTCCGTAATGATGGACTTCGTCTTCGGGTTTCCCAAAGACGCTCACAAGAATACTGATATTCTTGTGTTTGTTGATCGGTTCAGCAAGATGGTACACCTTGTTGCTGTACCGGAGGCAATTACAGCCTAGGGCTGTGATCATGTCTTCATTGATACTATCTTCCGCCTTCACGGGCTTCACCTTGAACTCGTGTCTGATGGGGACCCCCGCTTCGCAGCGGAGCTCTGGCAACCCGTGTTCCGTTCACATGGAACACGTTTGAAAATGTCAACTTCTGACCATCCAGAACAGATGGTCAGACGGAACGCGTCAACCGCGTCCTCGAAGAGATACTTCGAGGTACTCCCACTCGTTTACGAGCTGGAGTGAGCTCTTGCCGATGGCGGAATTTTTCATCAACAACTCGGTGCATGCGTCGACAACGCATACACCGTTCTTCGTGATTGGCCTACGCCATCCACGTTTACCCGCCTTCTTAGAGTGTGACTCTAGTTTAAGGGGGGGGTGGGTGGAATCGCTCGAACGAAAACCGATCTAGTTCTTGCTCATCGCACGTCGACAATGGTGTCGGCGTGATGGATGCCGATGTCGATCACATCGACATTGATGATGATGATGATGACGACGATGCTGTTATATTTAGCATCGCCAACGACTGCCACAGTGAGAACTATGAAGCCCTTACTGGTGAAGACAACGTTCTTCTAGCAGTGCACACGAAGCGCACTGCTGTAAACAAGGATGAATCAGCAGAGGAATTTCTGGTGACTCGCGAAGCGGTTGTCCGCTTTGTTCAACATTTGATTGCAGACGCAATAGAAAGAAAAAATGCAGACAAACATGAAAGAGCAAGTATTCTTTCATTCATTGAAAGAGACCTAGTTTTGCTGTCTACAGTAAATCTACAAAAACGCGCAGTGACAAACGTTGGCAGCAATAAATTACTGCCCAAGCACATCGGTCCATTCTGTGTGTTCGCCGTATGGGCACCACATACACGATTGAACTGCCCCGTAAGATTCGTACGCATCCTACGTTTTGCGTTGGACTTCTCCGCCCGTACTATCAGTACGAGCCCGCTTCGAGATGCCAAGAAAACCTCCGCGTTTGAGAGCCGAGACCACCTTCGAGTGGTCCCGTTTCAACAAGCCAGTCTGGTCGACTAGCGAAGCGACTTGTTCACACAGTTGAACGATGTCTCAACGAGCTGCAGACAGCTCGTCACGAAGAGAACAAGTCGAACGTTCGTTCTCAAGTTACGCGAACGCAAACGCGGCACGATCGTCCGAACGATCGTGCAATAAGGAATCGTAATTCTCCCTTACAAGATCCTGAAGCTCATAACGCCGAGTCCGTTCGTGAGCCAAGTCATCTTGCAACTGTTCCGTTACACGGTTCAGCTCTTGAACATCAAGCTGATCCGACCCTCGAGCCGGATCAGGTGTTACCGCCGCTACCACATACTTTGGTGGACTTAAGCGGTGGCCAACGCTTTCTAGTGGAGCGTATTTTAAACCAACGCGACGTGAATGGCGTCCGGACGAGTTACCTCGTCCGCTGGCGTGGCTATCCACCGGTGTGGGACAGCTGAGAGCCTCGTGCCCAGCTGATTGTTGATTTACTTAGTCTCGTCGAGCAGTATGACGAGACCCACCCGCTGCGTTCAAAGAAGGACCTTCGGAAAACGACCTCCCCGAACGCGAGTGCAGGGACTGCAAAGTGTCAATCCCTTCGGCCATCTCAGAAGATATGCGCGCCCTCCAGTAGGGATCATTATGGAGGTAGGGATCCATAGGGGCACGTTTCGAGCTGTCCGAGCAACCTGGACACGAATCACCCCACGAGAGACAAGGTACCCTGCCTCTCTTGAAAGCCGGTGCAACTTGTATCGCGCCCCAACTGGGTTGCGCTTCTCAAACCTGATGCGAGCTGCATCAAGTTTAGCGAGCCAGGCCTCACGGCCGATGCACTCGATGTTATGGATGAGGGCATTCCATCCTTGCACTAAGGCCTTACCGTCTTGACCACGGTTGCCATTGTACCACCGATTTCCAACAATGCATCGGGACGAACTCATCCTCAGCACGGATGGTTTTCGTGCTGGAATTAGGTGGGCAAATACTCCTACAGTCAAATAACGGGATTCGGTCCCGTTCGGTAGTCAATCCGGCCAACCGGTTCAACTCTCTGGATGACGGCATCCACGCAGACTCCACTTGAGGAGCGTGGCACAGAACGTTACAGTCCCTGGCCTCTTGAGTGGTGTCAGCATGAGCACTGACACCAGTGTTACCCCAATACTTCGAATAACTTCGCTCGTGGTGATGTATAGGTGCATCACCACCATCGCCACGCGTCCTATCGTCGGATGGACTTGCGTGAGGCAGAGATTCGTCGAAAGAATCGCTCGGTCCGAAGATCTTAAACATGATGCCGCCACGTTCCTTAGAGCCGGTCAGCCACTGGCTCGTGCAGTGTCCGCCCCGGATGATCCGGAGGCGTGAGATGTCGACTTCGAGTCGGATGCATCATCCGACTCTCCAGAATAAACAAGTTTTACTTCAGGCTCATCCACATTGCGATTCGCAATACCCGCTGGAGACGCAGCGGATGTATCTGTCGCACGCGGCGACAAACAAAACTCACCACGTGGACTGATCACAATAGGCACCGCCTGGTGCTGAAATGCAACAGCAGGCGAAGGATCACATGCTGCTGAAGCAAGAAGAGCACTCTTTTCGGCTACCTGCATGCGTTCAACCGCCTTTTTTGCTGCGTCGGCAGCACATCGCATGGACTTTGGCACCGTGCGATGATTTGTAAAATGTGTTGGAATTTGACTAACAAGATCTCCTCTTCTCAGAGTGATCCGACGGTAATCACCCTGTCCCAATCAGTTAAATCTAATTAACGGGTAATTGATGGTTAGGGGGTGATGTAACGGGGTAGCCCGTTACATGATATTGACACCAAACGGTGTTGTCACGCTAGACAACCTCCTTATTAACACAAAACGGTGTCAATAGGGAGGTTGTCCAGCATGACAATTCTCTGCCGATATTATCCGAGGTGTAAAATATTTATGAGCTTTAATGGGATGTTTGATAAAGACATATCACCCAAGGTTACCATCAATCGCTACTAGACGCGCGTAATGAGTGGTGAGCGCCATACGACAACGTAGATAAGTACAGTTAGGTAAAGACAGAAGTTATGTTGATAGCTTAACTGTATCAGATACAGCTCTCTTTTTACCTTTTACTCAAACTATTAGTTTCTTGAATCCACCGAAGAGGATAAGACTGCTCAGCCTGAGCAAACCGACAACGAGATTTATAGAGAGTTTTATAGGCAGATGATGAATAGGAAAACTATGAAGATGCGGCACCTGTCGCAGAAAAAGTTATTATATTCGAAAAGATCCACCTTCTTCGTGATGCCTGCTCCCTGCTTGACGTATCCAAGTAACGTCACGAAGCTGCGCATGAAGTCCATCGCAATTTCCAGCTTGGTCTTCGCAACAATCTTACCACCCATACCCCCAAACATGTGGTTCAAGTTGTATTTTCTATAATACAAAGAAAGTGTCCATTTTATTAGCTGTTTCGTTCTTCTTGATTCTAATCAAACTTTAAACTTAGCGGCCGTAGAATGAGGTCCGTGGACGCGGTAATCAATAACCTAATAAAGGTTTGAACTTAGGGTGTAACGGGGTGAATCGTCACATGACAATTTATAAGAAATTGTTAATAGAATATACCTATAATAGTTATATTCTCAGAATATTGTCAGAAGAACAAATATTCTGCAGCACTTACGAGTAGTTCCTAATTGGTTGATATAGGCCATTATATCAACCAACGAAGACGCGCCACGACAGACGCACGCAATGAGTGGTGAGCAGATAGTTGATTTACACATTTGTATTTAGACGTAGTTAGATGAAGATAAATAGTGATTTATTAACAGACATTAACTATTATAAATACAGTTCTACTTTTTACTTTAACCAAGTACTCGCTTCTTCTTACCGTCTTCCTCTGCACGTACCAGTGTACGTGAAGTTCCGAGGCACCGCCTTATTCTGTTGTCAGAATAAGTAGCTTGTACTGTCATCAGTACAAGCTTCAGGGTGCCCCGTTACACCTGGTAGCACTTCGTAGTCCGTCCAAGTACCACGTTCACATCCAACATGAATATGTTGGATGATGAAGACCAAAGCTTTCACGATACGCGTGACGGCTACTCCCATTTGAGCAATGTCGAATGGGATGCGATTGAACGGATGGGTTCGACCATGGGCATCCATGCTGTTAGCGTCATGCTAGAGGCTCTCAATAGAGATGCCCAACATGCTACTATCGCCAAGTTCATTCAAAATGAACTTGACGCTGAACGCGAGAAAGTAGCCTTGCTTCACGAACAAGGTTCTCAACAAGCAGAGTTGTTGAGAGAACAGGGTGCTCAACAGTTTGAACTGTTGAGACAGCAGCAGGCTGCTGCTGGTGGGTCGATGCATTCGCGTCGACCCGAGACCTTGAAGATTGACATCTCCAAGTATAGGGGAGTCAAAGAGGACTCCCTATTGAGATGGTTCGTCGAATTGGATGACGCCATAAGGGCGCGTCGCATCGACGATGGGGAAATGCAAGTTGCATTTGCCCAGTCAAATCTGGCAGGACGTGCCAAAACTTGGGCACTGGGGCTCAAGTTGCACGACCCATATGCGTTTGGGTCGTTAGAAGTCTTTAAGTCGCGGCTCAGACAAACGTTTGAACCGCCTAGAGCTGAGTTCAGAGCTCGAACCGAACTCTTGAAGCTCAAGCAGGGTAAGCGTGATGTGCACGCTTACGCCCAACATATACGACATCTTACGAGTTGTATAAGTTCCAATCCGGTGGATGAACACACGTTGGTTTCGGTGTTCATGCAGGGTCTTGCGGATGGTCCCGTCAAGACTCACCTGTTCCGGCTTGAACTAGATTCACTAGAATAAGCCATTTCCATTGCGGAACAGGACGACTTAAGTCTGAGACAGGCTCGCGCCAGCTCGACATCATATCGTCAACCGAGACGATATGACAACGGAGGTTCAGAGCCGATTGAACTCTGTTATGTAGAGAGCGAGAAGGCTCGCTCTACAGACTACAAGAAGTTGCAGAAATGCAACAGATGATAGAAGACAGGACACTACGCTTACGAGTGTAGTGCCCCTCGTCCAGTGTCTCGCGACACTGGGCGTAGTGACCGTCCACCCATAAGAAAGGGGCAGGGACGCGGGTCCGCTGTTGGTGCAAAGACGCAACAACGGGATGGACCGTCAAAAAACGGTCAGGATCAGTAGTGCGGAGCACCCTACTGTCCAGCAACGTCAAGAGAATTTGTAGGCCTCTTGATGAAGGTTGCTCCCAACGCAAAAACGTTGTGCGTTGCTGCTCTAGGTAATGAAATCTCACTCTTTACCTTGAAACTCGAAGTGACAAATAATTTCCCCTTCGAGCTCTAGTCGATTGTGGGGCGTCCAACAATTTTTTGCAACGCCAATCGCTAGAAGATGGTCACTTTAAATTCAGTGAATGTGACACACCTCCTACGAGGATGACGGTACGTCTTGCGACAGGCGCATCCGTAACCGTCATGAAGCATATAGTGATGATTCACTATACGCTAGAAGATACCCAATATGACGATGACTTTGTCGTATTGGATTTGGATGACAAATTTGATGTCATCCTTGGAATACCGTGGCTCAGAAGGTACGAACCACGACTAAACTGGCAACATCGAAAAGTAACGATGCCTGCCGCTTGTTCGTCAGATGGCCATCTGATGAACGTTTTGGAGCGTCCACAAGCGTGTGAATGTACTACGAGTGAATGCGATGGCCTCACTTGTGGTACGGTCGTTAGTACGACTGCACAAAACCTTAGTGTAACAAACATTTACACTTCGGAGCAAGCTTCTGGCGGCTGTGAGGAAACACAGGCTGCACCGAAGGTCCACCACTCGAATGAGTCGAGTTAACCGGGACAAAGATGTATCCCTCGCGGGGAACATCTAGAAGAGAAACAATCGATCGCTCAGGCTAAGCAGAACGATAATCCTAGATCGACTGGAGAGTCTTTCGTAGAGGATCTCGCTGTGGTTGCGCAACCACAGCTAGAGGAGGTAAAGGGAATAAGTCCCGATAATACAAATACGGTGGAAATAAGTTCCCCGAAACCCGCGGGAATAAGTCCCCGGGAAGCCGAAGGAATAAGTCCTTCGAAGCCTGACGGAATAAGTCCCCACGAAATGACAGAGACATTAAATGTCATAGTCAATAACGGATCAAGTGTAGGCGCTTATACACTTGATCTGATTGCGCCTCCGAAGTTGACTTCGGAGATCACTCAGTGACAACGCTCGAACATAAAAGGTTCTTGCGTGATCTGCGTAGTGGCAAAGTCAAGCAGATCTGCGTACTCGTCGCTGACGACGAGTGTGTAACCGGCATAAGGTCAGCAACAGTGTTCACTGAGAACGAGAGAGTTCTCAGTAGTTCATCTATGGACGAGAGTGTCCTAGATGAAAAGACACGAATTGAGCGATATGACTCCCAATCGTGGGAATCGCTCAAGACAAATCCTCTCTATGAAGATTTGGTATTCAAGGATGCATTCCCTGAAACTGTTCCGTGCGAATTACCGAAGGATACAGGTATTCGACACGAGGTCGAGCTTAAACCAGGCTCGAAGTACTGTGTCATGAAGCAGTGGCCACTGCCTCGTGAACAAGACTTGCGATCGACAAGTTCTTTGCCGATCGTCTAGCTGCGGGCCATGTGAGGGAATCAACTTCCCCACATAGTTCTCCGACCTTCTGTGTGCGAAAAGCAACAGGAGGGTGGCGGATAGTGCATGCATTCAACAAGTTGAATGCTGCAACGGTACCGGCTCAGACGCCGATACCAAGGAAGGACGTAATCATAGATGGTATGTCAAAGAGTACCATCTTTTCGTCCATGGATTTGATGGATGGCTTCTATCAAATCCTTACGTGAGAACGGGGATGGCTTCTATCAAATCCTTACGCGAGAACGGGACATACCATATACCGCAGTGAGCACGCCTAGCGTCATGCTCTGGGAATGGCTAGTAATGCCACAAGGGCTTAGTAATGCCCATGCCACGTTCAACAGATGTGTATCACATCTGTTGAGACCAGTACAAGAATTCGCGCCGAGTTATTTCGATGACGTATTCATCCATAGTCGGGCTATGGATGGACAGTCGGACGTTGAGGTTCACAGATAGCACGTCCGACAGGTTCTTACAATCATGCGAAAGCATCAATTGTATGCGAAATTCAAGAAGTGTGTGTTTGCAGCAAGCGAAATACCACTTCTTGGGTGCATCGTTGGTAAGAACGGTGGACGTCCTGATCCCGAAAAGATCAAGGCGATCACCGACTGGCCTGTGCCAGTTGATGTCAAAGGTCTTCAAAAATTCCTCGGGCTAGCGGCGCATTTGCATAAGTATTCACGCAATTACGCCGAGATGACTGTACACCTCTCTCGTTTGTTGAAAAAGAACGAGAGGTGGTTATGGAACGCTGAATGTCAGCGCTCCTTTGATGGTATCAAGTAGAGCTTGATACAATCCCCAGTCCTAGCAATTGCTGATCAGGACAGGCCATTTCATGTGGTCTGTGATGCCAGCGATTTCGCAATCGGCTGTGCATTAATGCAGTACGACCTTGAAGTCGTTGAACGCGTCGTCTGCCATCAGTCGCGTCAGCTGCAACCAGCTGAGCGGAACTATTCAGTGCATGACAAGGAACCCCTTGCCATGAAGTATGCACTCGCGAAGTTCAGAGTCTATCTATTAGGAGATAGATCCTTCATTGTTTATACTGACCATGCGTCATTACGCACGGCAGTGAACAACCCGCACCTTTCGCAACGAATGGCGCGGTGGTTGTCATTCTTTGCGGAATACAACTTTACGGTCGAGTACAAACCAGGACGACTTAATGTCGTCGCTGATGCACTCTCACGTCGTCCCGACTTTGAAACAGTCGCGAAACCCAACAGTGAGACAGTCACTGTTGCGGTTATGACGTCCTCAGTCCCATCTACAACGTTGTATGATGATGTGAGGCGGGCATACGCCCAAGATGGTGAGATTGTGAAGTTGTTGACACATTTCTCCCAACCATCTCGAGAATCGTTGAAACGATTGTCGCCTGCGTATCGATCTGCATCAGATCGATACACTACTCGTAACGGTTTACTGTATTATACATCCGTTTCTGGTGACACACCGCGTGTTGTCATTCCAGATGATACTGATCTGCGTTTGCGGATCATGTTCGAGTATCACGATGCTCCTATAGGAGGACATCGTGGCCGAGAGAAAACATATCTCACGGTAAGTCGAGACTTTTACTGGCCTCGCCAGTATCAGTTTGTGCGAAAGTATGTTCGCGCATGCGAAGTCTGTCAACGAGTGAAGTCAAGTCCTTCACTGCGTGCACCATTACAGCCTCTACCGGTTCCGGCTGAGTGCTGGGAATCCATCTCAATGGATTTCGTCTTCGGGTTACCCAAAGACGCACGCGGGAATACGGGTATTCTCGTATTTGTTGACAGATTCAGCAAAAGGGTACACCTTGTAGCTGTACCAGAGACAATCACGGCAAGTGGCTGTGCTTGTGTCTTTATTGACATCATCTTCCGACTTCATGGGTTGCCCCGTGAACTCGTATCAGACAAAGATCCACGATTCACTGCTGATTTCTGGCGTTCCGTGTTCAAATCACTCGGAACGCGCTTGAAGATGTCGACATCTGATCATCCAGAGTCAGATGGTCAGACGGAACGTGCCAATCGTGTCCTTGAAGAGATACTTCGAGGATACGTACACTCCTTTAAGAGTTGGAGTGAGTTTTTGCCAATGGTAGAGTTTGCCATCAACAACTCGGTGCATGCGTCCACGACACATACACCGTTTTACGTGAATGGCTTGCGCCATCCGCGTGTACCCACCTTACTAGAGTGTAACTCTGGTATAAGGGGGGGGAGGGACTCGCGCGAGCAAAAACCGATTTGGTTCACGCTCTGACGAAGAGGTCACTGCGTTTGATGCCGATATCGACAACATCGATATCGAAGAAGTTGATGCCAGTGAGAGCGAGGAAGCCCTCACTGAAGAAAAGATTGATGTTGCTGCAGTGCACTCACAGCGCACTGAAGCTAACGAGTCAGCAGATGAGTTCATACTGGCTCGTGAAACGGTAGTCCGTTTTGTGTAAGACTCCATCGCCGAAGCGGTGGATAAGCAACAGCAAAACGCAGACAAGAATGGAAGGGCGAACACTCTTTTATTTAAAAAAGGTGACTTAGTCCTACTGTCTACGGTTAATCTACCAAAGCACGTAGTGAAAAACTTGGGTAGTAGTAAACTTCTACCCAAGTACATCGGCCCATTTCGTGTATTGCATCGCCTAGGCAACGCATACACGATCGAGTTACCACGTAAGATGCGAACGCTTCCCACGTTTTTCGTTGGTCGGCTTAAGCCGTACCATCAGTACGCTGTTTCTTCCGATGAAGACCGCCCTTGCGCTCAAGCATCTCACAGAGGGCCTTGTGCTCCCGATGGTGGGCATCAACAAGGGTCTGAAGAGCAGTTATCTCAGCCCGAGACCGGTCAATATCCACACAAGCTACCCTTAGCTCGTCACGAAGAGATTCCAAAGCTCTCTCGCTCTCAAGCTGAGCAAAGGCAAACTCAGCTCGATGCTTCGAGGCAGTGTCCGCCATTTGGAGACGCCTGTCCCGCTCATGTTCGAGATCGCCGCGTGCCCTTGCGTTACGCGATCGAAGAAGCTCTCGGGAACACACGGATCCCGACGATCGTGTGGAAAGCGTCTTTCCTCCTCCTCCACCTCCATTAGAGGACTCTCGCGGTGGCTAGCGCTATCTAGTTGAGCAGCTGTTGGACCACCGCGATGTGAACGGACGTCGGAGTGTCACCTCGTGCGGTGGCGCGATTATTCTAGTTATTCGAGTTACCTCGTGCGGTGGCGCGATTATTCTCCGCCCTGGGATACTTGGGAGCCCCGCTCCCAACTGATGATTGACGTACTAGGTCTGGTTGAGCTGTACGACGTGGCACATCCTGTGCCGCAGAAGGACCGCCGGAGAAAGTCTTCCCGGCACGGTTGTAAAGGGATTTCAGGTTGTCAATCCCTTCGTACATCTCAGTAGAGATACGTACGCGCCACCACGGGCTAGTAAGGAGGTAAGCCTCCTTAGGTACGCGCGCTGAGTTGTTTACACAACATGGGCACGAGTCTCCCCAAGAGAGGCAGGGTAATCCTTTCTCCCTTGACAGACGATGCAGCTTATAGCTTGCACCTGTCGGGGTTCTTTTCTCAAACTTATCACGAGCTTTGATGAGTTTGTCGTTCCAAACGTCACGACCTACATCCTCATGGTTATGGATGTAAGCGTTCCACGCTTGAAGCAGTGAGGGACCATCACGTTTGTGATTCCCACTGTACCATCGATGCTTAAAGAAAGCATCGACGAAGAATTCATGCTCAGTGTGATAGTCTTTCGCGCTGGGGTTAAGGTGATGGATCTTTGATGAACCGAACAATCGTGTTCGATAGCGATCACTTGTCGTCGCCGACAAGCGATCCATGACTGACTTTGGAGGCATCCATGCCTTCTTTTCAGGAGCGAGACGCAACACGCTGCGGTCCCGCTCTTCCTGCGACGTGCCGACAGAAGTACTGGCACCTCGTTGCGAAGTGGTGTCAATAGGAGAACCGACACCACTGTGAGCGCCCGAGTCTTGCAATCTCGAGCGCCTTCGCTTTGGCGATGGTTCATCTGATTCATCAGATGAACCAAAGATGCTACGACGCATAGCATCATCCATGCCACGCTTGGCAGGCGGCTTGGTTTTAACCGCCTTCGATACGGATCCGTCTTCCGTATCAGGAGAGTATGAGACACCGAGCTCATACTCTGTGAAGACATGAGTGTCTTCATGACGAGCGCCTGCATCACCAGGTGATACAGGCTGAGACGCTTTAGCACCCAATGACACATCGGTTGCAGCGGTTTCTGCTTTGGCGTCCGCATAGAGACGTGCAGACGCGCTCTCGGCGGCCTTGTTCGCGCATCGCATGGGCTTGTTAACCATGCGATGAAATTGATGGACTGTGGACTCGGACCAACAAGTGCAAACCCTGTCCCAAATGATTTGGGGCGAGTTACCATTCAGTCAATCAATCACTTAAGTGACCGATGGTTAAGGGGGGGTGTAAGGGGGTGAATCGTTACATAACAATTTATAAGAAATTGTTAATAGAATATAACTATAATAGTTATATTCTCAGAATATTGTCAGAAGGACAAATATTCTGTAGCACTTACGAGTAGTTCCTAATTGGTTGATATAGGCCATTATATCAACCAACGAAGACGCGCCACGACAGACGCACGCAATGAGTGGTGAGCAGATAGTTGACATGCACATTTGTATTTAGACATAGTTAGATGAAGATAAATAGTGATTTATTAACAGACATTAACTATGATAAATACAGTTTTACTTTTTACTTTAATCAAGTACTCGCTTCTTCTTACCGTCTTCCTCTGCACGTACGAGTGTACGTGAAGTTCCGAGGCACCGCCTTATTCTGTCGTCAGAATAAGTAGCTTGTACTTTCATCAGTACAATTGTGATCGAGGTGTGGTGTAGCTCCTCCAGTAGTCAATGTCATATTTCTGACAGCATCAGCCTACGCTCTCTTTGGCTTTATAGGAGTCGAATGACCAGACGGATGGAGCGACGGCTCGTGATTGTGGCATCCATTCATCCCGTTTAACTTCCAATAACCCCCTTTGTACAAAATTTTCCACTTTAAAGTAACGGGCAATCAATTCGGCGTGAGCTGGTCTGGCGTTGGCGCTACTTTCCAACATTTATTACGTTTATGGCACCTCGATCACATTTAAGGTAGACACACTTTCCTGCAATCATACTTTTAATCGAAACAGCATAGCCTTTTCCACGTGCGAACGTCTGCACAGTATCCATAAGTTGCTCCCGACTGAAATATTGTTTGTTGGTGCACTTGTGCATGTGGAGTAGGAAGTAAAAGTAAGAAATGTTGAGTATGAAATATCCTTCGTTCACACTACCACATGTACTGGATGACCACCACTGCAACTTGAGCTGGTCAAGTTGCATCTGGCATACATCCAGCGTGCCCATCACCGTATGTCATCCCTGGTCCCACATGACGTTCGCATATCGGTATGCAGGTCCTCAGTCCCAAATGTCGCGCCTCGTCCCATATGTCGCACCTTGTCCAACATGTCACGTCTTGTCCTACATGTCAGCTTGACAGCCGATCAGGTGAGGTTGCACTTTACCTGTCACAGGTCTTGCAGTCTTCATCCTGAGTTTCCATGACCTGTTAGAAGCAATTTTTTCTAAATCCTCCTCAACGTCAGCCTAAAAAGGCATCAAGTTAAACATTAATCGTAGTTCCTCCAACCTTGGGGCGGGCAACGACTTCGTAAGAATGTTTGCCATCATGCACTCCGATTTTATGAATCTTGGTACCACAGTCCCTTAGCGCGCGCGATGACAGATAAACTTGTAACGAATTTTCACGTGCTTTGTGCTTGATGTGCTCTTCTCTGCTTCGAGTTGCTTGATCGCCGCTTGTTTGTCCATTTAAATCGGCATGGGCTCGACCATCGCCATTTTCAACTCGTTGAAGAGCTCTATTAATCCCAGCAGCTCACGACCACCCTGCGACGCTTCCACGAACTCCGCCTCCATCGTGCTGACAGCCATTCCTGCCTGCTTCTTGCATAGACAGAACGCAACAGCTCCATCCATACTTAGCACACACCCAGTCACTGACTTACGGTCGGCTTTATCCGCATCGAAGTCCGCATCGCTCCAACATTCGACCTTGATGTCGTCCGTAGTTGGTTCGCCTCCATTGAGGTGCAACTTTAACGTCTTGGACCCCTTCAGGTAGTGTACGATCCGCTTTGCTTTTTTCCAGTCCTTGATGGTCGGTTTATGCTTTTGACGGATGGCTTTATGTACCGCGAAAAAACGTCGGGGCGGGTGCACCTCGCAATCCAGAGAATTCTTCCGACCAAAGATTGGAAAACGCCCAGACTTGGGTCACCGCTTGCACCTTTCGCAGGTAGAAGGTCCGCGTCTTCTGCTTCATCCTCGTTGCCCTCATCGCCGATTAATGTCCGCCCAGATTTGCTGATTCCAGCTTGAATCTCTTATCAAAGCGTCGATCATCACTTTCTGGTCCAGAACGTATACATGTGTATCGTCCAGCGAGATTCGGAGTCCCAGAAACTTCATCACGACTCCCAAATCCTTGATCGACAGTGTCTTTAATCCGGCGAAAAAATTGTCCACTGCTTCTTGTTTGGTGCCTGTCACCAGGTGATCATCAACATAAACTCCCACCACGGTCCAACCTTTCACCTTCCCACTTGTAGTATAAACACATGTCCGTGGTGCACTGTTGGAAATCTTCTTCACTCAGCTTCGATTATAGGAGCTTGCTTCACAGTCGTCCAGCTTGCTTCAGTCCATAGAGTGACTTCTTCAACATTAGTGCAGCTTCCTGAGTCTGTTTCGCTCCAACACCTTCGCCTTTGCGGTCAATCGCATGTCCTTTGGTATCGTCATGTGTAGGTCCAGGTGTTCCTGCTTTCTGCCTTTACGTAGGCATTTGGCACATAGCCATGACGTGCCGGCACGTTCCATCTTCTGGAGAGCACCAAAATCAGCTTGACGGTCGCCAAATTCATAACCGCCGCAAACGTGAAATTGTAGTCGATGCCGAAAACTTGTTCGTTTCCGCATACAATCAAACGAGCCTTGTATCGTTCGATACCACCATTCGCATCCGTCTTTGTATTGTATACCCACTTGTTGTGCAGGACGTGCGCGTCTCTTAGAGGCACGACTATCTCCCACACGTCGTTCGACTTTATTGCATCCAGCTCTTCAGTCACGGCTATAAGCCATTGATCACGATTCTTGCCATTCATCGCTTCACTTAATGCTTCGGGTCTTGATCGGTGACGACAATCACGACATCACGGTTTTCTAACGTGGTATAGTCCTTTAACTTCTTTGGGTGATCCACTCTCGTCGACCTTGTGCCGTGACGTTCCCTAGTCCAGAGAGCTTTTCGAACCTTGTGGACCTATTTTGCACGTCTCGCACCATCTTGATGATCTTCATCATCAACCTGATGATTACGTCTTGGCTCCTCATGACGGTTTACTGCATCATGATGAGTCTTCTTGTCATCGTGGTTATCTGTCAGTGCTTGAACGTTTTGCATTTATTGAGTCACTATGACCACCTTGTCCACTGAAATGTACACCTTGTACCCCTTCGTTCGCTGCCTAGTCCAATGATGATGCCCGCCCTGCCTCGCTCGCCGAGTGATTTGTTGCTCAGATGATTATGCTTAGTACATGTTGAACCGAAAGCAACTAATTCCTTCAGCACGGCAGCCTTACTCGTCAGAAATTTTATAGGTGACACTCCTCCAGGATTCGACTTGGTGCGGCTACGGTTCAAAATGTACGCGGCGTACTCTGCGGCATCGCCCCAAAACGACAGTGAAAGGTTTGACGCAAAGATCATGCTCCGCACCATGTTCATGATGGTGCGGTGCATCCTTTCAGCCTTGCCGTTGCTCGCTCGGTTTCTCGCTTTACTTACTTGACGCGAGACGCCTATTGTCGAGCACAACGGATCGAGGGTCTTGTACTCTCCTCCACCGTCAGTGCACAAGACGTGGTTCTTGCATTTAAATTCACGTTCGTAGCTCGCCATTAAGAGTTTAAACATCAACACAGCTGCATCCTTCGTCCTGGACAAAAACACTCGACAGTAACTTGACCGATGATCAATGAAGTTGACCACGTATCAGTTCCCCAAACGGTCTCGTAGGGTCATGGGGCTCTTGAGGTCCGAGCATATGACGCCCCCGATCACGTCAATTGGTGAGTTTGCGCCTGTGTCTCTCTTTGACTGGGCCGCCTTGGTTTGCTTACCCTTGGCACAGGCCATGCACTTCTGTCGTGTCGTGTCGTGTAAGTCAGACGTATGCACGACGCTGGGTCTTCAGCCCATTTCAGGACTGTGTCGAGACAGAGGTGCCCCGGACGCCAATGGAAATCCATAAGGTGTTGCGCTGAACGTCCGAAACGGATTCGTCATCAGGTGCGTCCATGACCATCATCATCAAATCTCGTGATGGTATTGAAGTCCGATCACTGTAACTCATCACATTAACAATAATAACGTTGATGGAGCTTTCTACGTCCATGATGGGTGTGCCACTCACTCCGGAAGACAACACGCGCCTTCCTCCTCGATATTCGAGCACTCATCTCTTAGCCTCGAGCAATCCAAACAAAGGAATGTTTCGCTTAAGGTTTTCAGCGTACTGGACGTTAAAGAGCCTCACTGTGTTGACGATCCCAAACGCAACGACTGAACGTCCACAGTGCCTTTCAGCGTGATACGTAGCGCGCTCCCATCGAAGGCTGCGGTCGTGCAATCACTATTGTAAAAGGTTGGGTCGGTGAGTAGACTTGGTCGTTAATCAAATGTCTACTCGAACCGCTGTCGAGTATCCATTGATTCTGTGAGTCGCTTGCACCACGAGCAACCATAAAGACAAAATTCGAACCCGATGCCTTTTAATTACCCTAAGGGCACCGCGAGCGGATATGTCCGACTTCGCTACACTTGAAACACGTCCGTGTGTCTATTCTTGTCTGCGTCGTCCTTGGTTTTGATTTCTCCTTGAGTTCCCCTATAGGTTCGACAGTATTCACCACGTCGCGCCCCAATTGTCTTGCGTGGGTGTCGACCTCCGTTTAGTGCGCAAATTGAGCCAATTCCTCTGTTTGACGCAGGTAGTCGAGCCGGTTGGTGTTTAACTTGGACAACATCGTTGTTCGCATACGTGGATCAGCATAATGGACGATGTTGTCCAGCACGAGGTTGTTGGTGCCACCACAGGCGTCACTGATGGCCGTCAGGTACAAGAAGTGGTCCGTCCAGTTTCGGTGGGTTGCCTTGGGTGCCGTAGATAACTTCATGCTCTGCGCCGGTGAAATCTTCGTGGTAAATGTCTTCAGCATTCTCTGCATTGTATGTTCTAGGGTGTTGCTCTCGAGCCACCGTGTCTCAACCTGCCGACGATAGTACTTATGTGCCTTGGAGCCACCGTGTCTCAACCTGCCGACGATAGTACTTATGTGCCTTTCGGCTTTGTGCCTTTCGGCTAGGTGCCTGCCTAAAACATCAACCTTAATGCCCTTTGGCCACGCGAAACTACATGCACGCTCTGCAAATCCGACTTTGCGGACGAATTCCTTTCCCCACTCCATGAAGCCGCTACCGAGACCATGGAAGAGCTCCTTTTCATCGAAAGGTTGCAACGCGAGCTTCCGTTGTTGTGCATCCGTCATGTCGATCCTCGGACGACCAAGGTGACCACACCCTTGGTTGGGAACACCCATGCCGGGATGGTACCCCGCAGGTATGCCTACCCCGTATTGCCTGGGGTCGGGTCCTTAATTCATGTTGACGCCCAGGTCTGCGTATCTTGCAGGAAGGGCTTCAACACCTGCCTGATGTTGTTGTCGCCGTAAGCCAAAAGTGGTCGCTGCCGACACGGTCAAAGATACCATAGGAGGGCTTCCGTCCGACGCCTTGGTGTTGATCCCTGCCGCGACCTCCCTTTTCCGATAATCGGTACGTAACTCGGGTGAGTCCGCGTTCATCCTGCCGCCTTGTTCTCTCCCGGAGGACTCCATCCGATTCATCCTTTCGGACATGTCCCTGAGTGTGACCAGCATTTTCTCGATCGCCTTCTCAGGCGCTGTCGACTTTTCTTCCAGGTAGTGATCGTTGGCATTATCCTGGCCATCGACCACGACGTCCGGTGCCGCTGGTTTAGCCGCACCGCCAACACGTTTGTTTGTGCACCTAACCTGTTGTTCGTTGGTGCACTTGTGCATGTGGAGTAGGAAGTAAAAGTAAAAAATGTTGAGTATGAAATATCCTTCGTTCACACTACCACATGTACTTGATGACCACCACTGCAACTTGAGCTGGTCAAGTTGCATCTGGCATACGTCCAGCGTGCCCATCACCGTATGTCATCCCTGGTCCCACATGACGTCCGCATATCGGTATGCAGGTCCTCAGTCCCAAATGTCGCGCCTCGTCCCATATGTCGCGCCTGTACCACATGTCAGCATGACAGCCGATCAGGTGAGGTTGCACTTTACCTGTCACAGGTCTTGCCGTCTTCACCCTGAGTTTCATGACCTGTTAGAAGCAATGTTTTCTAACATGGCACATTCAACCTCGGGAGGAGTAAGCAAGTTATTGCATGGTGTCGTATCAATAAAATGCTGAAGGAGCTAGACCACAGGCGTGAGCGGTATCTTTGGTATTTCTTACGTATAACTTGCTAATTAATGGTCCAGATTATCGAGAAATACCTTTGTCGAAAAACAAATCTTAAGATGAATTGGGATTTTATATTTAAGATTTTGAAGGAAGGGTGTGAATCAAAGGAAAAGAGGTGTGAATTTAGCAATTCCTAAACTTATCGGGGGAAAATTTACCGGAGAGAAGACTGTTCTGACCTTTAGAAATTTATGCTGCATTCTTGAAATTTAGGCTTTGTTTTCAAACTAGATGTCCTGTAATGTTTGAAACGGACTCCGGACTGCTTTTAATTTTTATGCAAATATTTGATGCCGCCCAATTTTGAACTAAATAATTCCATGGACCTCAACGTTTGGAAAGTATTCGATTGTCCAGCCCTCTTCCATAGAATATAATGCCCAAATAAAAGGTCAGTGGACGCGAGGTTTATTACTTAAGCGAGAATTTGCTGAATGAGATATGACTTATTGAAGGCCGAATGTAGCTCAAATTGCTTCGTCATTACTATTCTTGATCATTTAAATGAGCAATCTTAGACGTTTTGCCGCACACGTACTGCGATGGATTCAAGCCCGCCTACTCATGTTCGACACGATCAATCTCTATGTAATGCATACTTCTTCGATACTTTTTCTTGCTCCAAGTATTACCTGACGGGACTTTGAACTCGTCGTGTAAGCACGCAATGAAAGAATTTATGCTCAGGGAAAAGCCCAAATGAAATTGGATTTGAGGCTTGGTAGCGCAGTGCTTATTCACGACACATTCCTTCACCCATGGATCGTCTTGATTTCCTGACAAGCATCAACTTTTAATCGACAACCTGATTCAAGCTCAGGTAAAGTCTACTCATGCATTCTAGGTATCTCAGCTGTCCTAAGCGTTTAACTGTAGGTAGCTAATTACCACGTACGTGCGATAGCCGATACAAATTGCCCCTGGCGTTGATCAGCGTCATCCCGTTGTTGCTGTAGCTGACGCTGCGCTCGGGCATTGGTGCGTTTCTTCTGCTCGACAGCTAATACGTCCACATACTCATGCAGCGGAAGACCGTGAGGATCGAACTTGTCCTTTGGAAAGTTGGACCGCAGCTCGTCGATGCCAAAATACTCGATCACCTTCTCAAGGATGTACGGGTTCCGCACTTCCTTCTTGTCCTGCAGCGTCGTCTGGAAGTCCTGGCCGCGTTCGCGTTGCATCCGTAAGAACCGCTCTATGCGCTGCTGCGTCACGTTATCAGCAGCCAAAGAATCCGCTGCCGGCGGTATACCCACTTGCAGTAGCATCGCCTCCAGATCATGTTCAGTAAGAGGGGTATCTGCTTCACGATCTGTGAGTCCGACCTCTTGCTCAGCAGTATCGTTGCTAGGCCGGACTAAACAGACTTCATCCGCTTTCTCAGAGACCGTGGATCTTGAGTCTACAGATGCTTGTGCAGCACGGGAAGGAGATGGAGTAGAAGAAGGCTTGGAATGGGTCACCCCCAGTGATCGTGTACCCTCCTCATCCGATGAAGACGACCCATACTCGATCCCTAGCGAGTTCATTGGAGCTGCGCTGCTTCTTCTGGTCAGCTTGGTCGCAGCAGTTTTGATCACTTTTGACCTCTTCCCAAACTTGATATTTATGTAGCCATGGACTCTCGAATACCGATCGCTGCTGGTGGGTAAGAAAGACGTTAGCTTGTGATCCTGTTCGAGGGATGCTCGTCTTATATCCATTGTGTGGGGCGCGTGAGCGCCCGTGTAGATGAAAAGGTCGACGAGCATGTACGGCACAAGTCCAACTTTGACACAGCAAACGTTGCTCGATGCTTTTGTACTGGCGGGTGGACAGGTTGACTTGAAAACTTACGAGATCATTAGCCTACAAAGATTGACCTCCTATGGCAGTCATCGGCGGCTTCAATATTCTGATCTTGCTCTCGCCCGTAGCGAAGAGAGTAACACTATCCAAACTCTGCTGCATTCCCAGCTATGGAGCGAGAAGGGGACTACGAGCAGCCGACTTCATCTGGCATCTGCAGCTTGTTGTCGGCTTTTGACGTGTCCCCATGCAGAATCTTGCGGAGCACACGCCACGCACGTATGCCCAGCAACCTTCAAAAGGTGTGGAGTGGCTGCATACTCGACTCTGTGTGTTACGTTTCTTCACTTGGTGCAAGGATTTTACGCCCACCTTACCGTTCTCCTGTGCTTATATCAGACAAGAGTTCGCACAGGGTCGTGCGTTCGCTATGTCAGCCTTCTGAAGGTACGCTATCAGAGGCTTGGCCATGAGAGTGACGGTATCTACATGTTGCGTTGGGCTGGTTTTAGTTGATCCTGTGGTCACAAAGATGCTAGCCAAGCGCCTGGTACACATATTGTCTGGTCGAAACGATGGTCACGTAGCAGTGGCCCGTGGACAGGGCATAAAGGTCGAATGTTTTGTGCTGGTGTGGGAACGGCGAGTAAGGAACAATGGACTGCAAGGTAGTAGTAGTAGTATGACCGTCACGAAGTAGAATACGTAGCACCTGTCGTCAACATCAGCGCGTGTAACACGCGTAAAAGTACCACACCAGCCAAGATAGACTACAGCTCAAGTAGTTAGTTAGTTGCCGAGGCAGTCAACTTTTACTACAGGCATGAACCGGAGTGACAAGGGCTTGCAATTGTGATTGTACTCTCCGGTTGCAATGACGCTCAGATAGCGCACGATGTACACGAAGATGTCACGCGACGATGTGTACAATGGACCACAAGCTTGTGGCCAAGTCTATAAATTCAGCGGCGGTGGCGTAAATTATCCCGTAGAAGACACTCGTTGAGTTGATCATGCCCAGGGTGAAAACGGAAGGGTTTACGGCCTGATATTGATATGCGCAAGCTACCTTTATTTTCTCAGGTATATGACGAGTTCTCGTTGTTCAACCTCGCGGAAGTTCGATGCTCATTTTGCCGCACTCCCGGCAACGTCCCCGCTATCGTTTACATGTCGTCCCACTATTTTGTGTAACGTGTTTATGTATCGTGTGGGGACAGCACATTGCTCGGATGCGTCGATGTAGGACCAAAATGTTTCCGAGGTTCGTGCCGTAAATCCTACCAAACTAGAGTCATAAAGTGTAAGTGCCACCCTCGCCTAGCGTCAACACTGTCGCGTGGAACTGTTCACGCAGGACCCGAAGATCCGCGCGCAACGACTTCCAGATCTTATACCAGGCGTAATCCAAGTCACGCACATCAACAAATCCTGAAAGTCCCTCGTGTCTGTTCGAAATCTTCATCCGACAGTATACTAAGATTCAGCCAACGCGTACATTCGAGCCAGCTCGACATCGTCGTTCAGTCAGTCTCGAGATTCCGCTGTAGCGCACAGTCGCAGAGGATCGATACGTAGATATCCCCTCCAGCCACATGATCGACACGGGCGTGTACCGCTACGAGCGCAACCGCGAAAGCCACGAGTTCTTCAGTCCAGGCCCGTTATCCTCTGCACGTACCGCTACCGCCCCGTCCGCCATCTTCAACCTTGTGAGTACCATCATCGGTGGCGGTATCTTGTCCCTCCCTTTTGCGTTTGACAAGTGCGGGCTCGTTGTCGCGTTGATCTTTATGGCCATCGCTGCCTCCGCCTCCACTTTCAGTCTCTACGTCGTTGTGAGTTGCAGTCGACGTGGACGTGCGACCTCATACGAAGAAGTGGTACGCAAAGCCCTGGGAGCTCGAGCTGGCCACGTAACAGTCGTGCTGCTCGTGCTGCTTACGTTCCTCACACTTGTGGCATACGTCATCCTCACCAGAGATCTAGTGGGGTCACTCGGCGAAAAGTTCCTCTTCAATCGCCCCATCTCTGGGGCCGAGCAGAACGGTCTAACCATCCTCTGTGTGCTCCTCGTGTCGCCGGCGCTGCTCGCGCGCTCGATGAATGCATTACGCTTTACTTCCGTCTTCAGTCTCATGTCGGTACTTGTGCTGGCAACGACAATCACGATCCGGGCAATCGGTACTGTCGTCGCTGGTCGTGACGATGGGACGGTCGAGGCCGCTGTCCGGGTCCCAATCAAGCTGGTTCCTGACAGCTGGGTCGATGCTGCCTACGCTTTCCCCATCATCTCGGTGGCGTTCCTCTGTCACTTCAACGTGCTGCCCGTGTACCGAGAGCTGCACAAGCCGACGCGCCACCGCCTGAAGAAGATTGTGGCATCGACGATGTTCTACACGTGGTTGTTTTGCATGCTTGTCGGGACCATGGGCTATCTCTTTGCGTTCCAGCAGCCAGGAGGAGTGCAAGGGGACATCCTGAACAACTTCAGTGTCGATGACCACCTTGTGAATATTGGACGACTGGGCTTGTTGATCACGATTCAACTCAGCCTGGCACTCATTATCCAGCCTTGTCGAGCAAATGTCCTTCGACTTGCTCGGATTATTCAGAGCTACGTGCGAAAACATGCCACAGGTTTCGATTCAGAGGACGGAGACTCTTTTGGAGAAGACACAGCGCTTCTGGCGAGTGCCAGGCCGACTACTACTTCATCGGATGGCGCACTTGATGCTTCTACACCATTGGGGTTTCAAGCACGCGTTGTGCACGTGCTGCTAACGGTTGGCATCATGGCCAGTGTTGTTATCATTGCACTGATCTCGCCGGGGGTGGCTATCGTGTGGAACCTCATGGGCTCGACTGTCGGCCTACTCGTTTCCTACGTCTTGCCGTGCGTGTCCTACGTGAACATCCGCCATGAGAAGTCAAACCTGGACAGACGTAAACTTACGGCCTGGATTATTCTGGTGCTTAGCTCGGTCGTTTGCGCTGTGTGCACGGTGCAAGCATTCGTGTCGGTCTTTTTCCTCTAGACAACACAATGTGAGTAGCAACGACAAGTGCACCAGATGAGCCGCTTTAGCTTTTGACAACAGTCGGTTCTGCCATCGCCTTCAAAAGTTCTTTTGCATTCGGATCATGTGGCGCTGCCAGCTCTAGCCACTTGCGCGCTGTGTCCAAGTCCTTGGGTACCTTTCCATAACCACTACGATACATCTGCGCGAGGTTCACCATGGCCATCACGAACCCCTTCTCGGCAGCTGCGCGAAAGAGAGCCTCAGCTTGCAAAGCGTCCTGTGGCACCCCGTCCCCAGTAAGAAACAGGTTGCCCAAGTTGTATTGTGCCATAACGACGCCCGCAGCTGCTGCCTCCTTCCAGTATTGAACAGCTCGAGCCCGATCCTTTTGCACGCCACCATTGCCATACAGGTAGTACTCACCCAACCGGGACTTAGCAGCTGGGTCACCCGCTTCCGCCGCCTTAGTCAACCACTTCAAAGCCTCCACCTCGTTCTGGAGATGAAAGAAAGTATAGAGTAGTCAGGAACAGCTACACATGCCAGGTGCTATCGTCGTATCACTTACCTTTTCCGTCCCCGTTCCGTAGGTATACATATTGCATACGTTCATGTAAGCCGGCGGAATACCCACCTCAGCGCACTTTTTGTACAGCGCGAAAGCTTTCTTTTCGTTCTTACGCGTGCCTTCACCGCTATTTAAAGCGTCGGCGTACGCGAAAGCACCCCATCCATGTCCAGCAGCAGCTAGCTGTACAAACATCATTACACTAGCCCACTCAATCCCCAAATAAAACGTTACGTACCTCCTTGAAGAGCTTAGTAGCGCCTTTCACGTCTTTTTTCGGGAAACCTGACGATCAAACCACAGAGTCACTCGCGGTCCGACATAATGAATTGCCACTCGACATTATGCCACATGTAGTGCCTACAAAGCGTAACACCCACCTGAGCCTTTCTTCATGCACAGCGCATAGCTGTACTTGGCCTTGTCACTTCCCTGCACGTACAAGTGTGAACCCATTCACACACGTCAGCGAAAACAATGGCAGGAAAAAGAGGGGCTAAAAGCTACTCACCTGGTCCATTGCGGTCTTCCACACATGCAGCGCCTTCTGCACCTCTTCCTCGTTGTCATCGGCATTACTATATATCAAATTGCCCAGACCATGAAACTGCATGGGAGAGCGCAGCTTGGCCACCAGTGGTGACTCTTGGAACTGTCCGTCACACAGCCACAATCCAAGAATCAGTCGGCCCACAATCGTCCAGCAGCCAGCAATTCACTTGCACCTGCTTGAGCGTGTCGCCACGCTGGCCAAGCTTACGCATCTTCAGTAGCACGTCTTGCAGCTCCTGCGTAGCCATGTCCATCGTCAGCCACACACCCCACCTATGCGTTTACATACACCAATAAAAGACCAAAACCCGCCTCGTGCCCTTCTTTGGCCCGCACACTGCGCGCCTTGCGCCAGGCGCTTCGCATTTGCTGCATAGTTATTGACTGTGTTTCATTATCGATCTCAATAAATGCATCGACCTGTAATATCGTATTCTCCTGCCACACCACATCAGCAGTTTTATCGTCCGATCGTCCCACCGACCCGTTTGTCTTTTTATAAAACGAGGTTTATTTTTCTCGTGCGCTGACCAGCAACCGACATTTAGCGCGCGGAAGAAGCCACACGAGACCATCACTCTTTTTCCACTTTGTTGAAGCCACAGCATGAGCAGCGAGGACGCGGCCACGCGCGCCGAAGTCGCGGCCAAGCTGTGCGCAGCCAAGCGCAAGCAAGCTACAACGGGCGGCCGCAAGCTGCTGCGCTGGGACGCTGCGCGGTGGCAGCTGTTCGAGCGCACGCCGCCGTACACGACGCGCCTCAAGAGCGCGCCCCTTTTGCCCATGCGCGCCCCGCTCTCGTCCGTGTACGTGACGCGCTGTCCCGCCTGCTGCTCGGTCTGTGCTTACGCTCTTGTGTGTCTTCTCTTTCTTTGTGCTGCTGTTCTAAATAGCTACGAGATCCACTTTTCGAGTCGAAAGAGTCACGTGCCGTCGGTCGCGATGGAGCAACTGATTGTTGACACGCGCTCGGGCTCCGTCGTGAATGTGGGGCTCGTGATTGATGCGACGGGGAGCGACACGTTTCTGCACGATGTCAAGTGCGTTGCGGTTGTGCTTTGGGTGGTGATGAAGAGGAGGGAGTACGAGAGTTTGACTGGCTATTTTATGGACTGGTAGGGAGTGGGACGACTGGGATGTTCAGTATGTCAAGCTGAAGGTTGATGGGAGTGAAGGTAGAAGCGCTTTTTATGCAAGTGGTTTGTCTTGGGTGAGGCTGTAGGCGTCACGTGAATGGTGTCGCTGTGTGGATGTTGTTTGTAGACGAGAAAATTGGTCGAGAAGTGCATGACGACAAGATGGCTCAAGCGTTTCGCAAGACGGTAGTCAGTCACTTGGAGGGCGAGAGAAAAGACATGGACGTGGCTGTGTTTGGGATTGATGGCTACAACTTTGTGGGGTTTCTTATTGTGAGGTGCGTGATGATAGTGTTGGCGTTGAATGAAGGTACTCATGGTGTAAAAAATGTGGTGCTGACAGCTTTTTGGTTGAACATTGCGGTCTGAACCTTGACGCTGCGGTTAAAGATTTCGCGGTCTCGACTCCGCCTGGAATCTACTCGAGGCATTACTTGACGGTGTGTGTGTTTTTGACCGTTGTGGGAGAGCCGGCTGGTATGATACTAAATTGCGCTGTTCTGGTCTTTTATATCGGAACGTATTGACACAGCAACTGTATCGCAAGTACTTTAGCACGCTGTCGTCTGAGTTGACACAACTGATAGTTCCTGCTCCTCCACGATGGGAAAATGAAGAAGTCCGGAAGCGCGAGAGTGAATTACCCGTTGGCATTGATGTTGTAACGGATCAGGATCGTGAGAACAAGTTTGTGCGAACAGAAAAAGCTACCATCGTTAGTGCTGTTTCTACGAGAGATGCGCCGGTTGAGAGTGGACGGTCAACAACGCCTAGTAGTGTTCCTGGTGCCCCGGTGTACAGAGCACCTATGTACATTCCACCGGACCGTCAACAACAGCGTTCGACGAAACGCCGGAAAGTCCGCTCGTGGATAGATGAAGTGGAACCTCTGACGTATGGTGAGACACTTGCAACATCATCGGCGGAGCATGAGCAAGTGATTAAGTCGTTAAGGAAGCTTACTGGTGTTGAAGGATTTCCTGGATGCGAGGTAAGCGGACACTTATTTGTGCAATCGTAGATTATTGGCAACAGCTGCTGATACGTTTAATATGCTCTAGACAATTCCTTTTACAGCAACGCACGTCGCAGAAGGAGCTTATAAACGCAAGGGTGCTTTGACGAAAGCGTATCTTGTTACGTGGCGAGCACGGGGGTGCGTTACGTGTCATTATTGATAGGTTTTTGATAGGTTTTGACAGGTTTACCAACTCGTTCTGTATCATAGCCGTCGCTGTCTTCTCTACGTGGCGAGCGTGGGGATCTACGTCGTGTCGCGCGACATGACCTTTACGAAGGTAAACATGAAGTTTCCGCGACGAAGAGCAACGGTACGTGCATTGTACTGAATCACTGCAACATGGACACAACACTTAGCTGTCTTTTGGCGATGTCGTATGGAATAGAACGAGTGCCAAGTGAACACGTTGATTGATGGGCTTATTGTAGAAGATCGGGATCATGGCACAAAGGTGGCTCGATATCTGGCGTTCGACGTCATTTTTCTGGAAGGCGTGCCAACTTGGCAGAAAAAGTTGGAGAAGCGGTTACAGTGTTTACAGAACGAGATCATTGTGCCACGCAAAAATGTACGTTTGGTGTTTGTGTAGACGTCGATTGAAGCACAACTAAGTCGTCGCTAATTGACGCTACCGTGTGATATGCTTGAACAGGACAAGTCGTTTGATTACACGAAGGAACCTTTTCGTGTGCGTATGAAAGATCACTTTCGTCTTGGCAAGACGGAGTACATGCTGACAAAGTTTGCAAAGAGCGTGACGCACGAGGTGGACGGTGTCATTTACACCCCTTCGGAGGCTCCGTATAATCTCGGCGGTTTCGAGTGTGAAGAGCCAATTTTTAAGTTCGTTGCTAGCGAAGGCGGAGGCATTCCTGGTTTAGATGGAAGCATTTCAGAGCAGCGACTGCTTCAGTACATTGACTCTATCCCGAGTTGACTGGATTCAGCGCTGCGCAACACCATTTTCCGGCCATAAAATGGAACAGTGCTCAGCACTTTAGAGAGTACCTTTCTACGAAAGCCGCGTACTTCAGGTGTCAGGCTGTGTCTGATACGAGTAAGCCTGGCGTGTGGTGCGTTTAGACACAGGGAAGAACCATATCAATGCGAATACGGAAATTGGGCAAATGGTTGTGTGCTGGACGTCATTGCGTATGTCGATCTGACTAAAACTGAAGCACTGATTGTTGCGTAGGTTCACAATTGTAGCAACCATTTTGTGAGGAAGGCCATGTCAAACCGACGGTTTTAGTGAGGAGGTTGGAAAATCGACATGTGTGCTTGAGCCGAAAGTGTCACCGCTCCCAACTTTACAAACAACTAAAGTTGTTACGTCGTTGTACGTACCAGGAGATGACAACAAAAGCGTATGCTCCGAGCAGCATTTTCTACCCAGAGTGATGCGACTTCGGCAAAGCCGGTCACCCGCTAGGTCTTTGCTCGGCTGCTGTCTCGTGTTTCTGGACTATGCCTGAAGGTTTCAGCTACACTCTTGGATGCTCGAGCCTGGCGAGTGTCATATTTCAGATTCACGACTTGCGAAGATTGTCTGTTGTCATTGCAAATTGGCAGACCACAAGTCGCATTATTTGTCTCTGCCGAAAGGCATGCTGCCGAATATTTCAGATTGAATCAAACTTACGATAGTAGTACCTAGTAGCGTAGCATGCATCCCTCCACATGGCTCTATGCGGCAACGGTGCATGGTCGATACAGCTGCTTTGGCTAGATGTCGCGTCGATTGTCACAACTTCTGTTGCTACCATCCGCAAGCAACGGACGACGACGTAATAGTTACGTCAACGAATACTTGTGGACAAAGATTTTTGCATGGTACAAAACCAAGACACAATATCCACACAGAGACATGCACACGCGTAACGTAGCAAACGTATCAAACCTCATTACCTGACACAATAGCTTGCCATACCGTCCAACACCTGCTAGTCTACTTCGTCCACCTCATGTGGCATCGTCACTTAACACACGTCCGTAATTTATCATCCTGGTAATCGGTCTTACAGCAGAGGCTCCAGATCCATCTCCAAAACAGAAGTCGGGTTAAGCAAATCGAAGTTCTTCAGCACGCCCGGGTGCAGCACGCCGAATGAGCCCAAACGCAGAGGCTCGGCATCTTCTTTTTGCAGCATCACGTATGCACAACGGCCGGGAAAGTATGCATGTTCCTCCGCAGGCGTGATAGTATAGTACTCTTTCGTACCCACAGCCATCTCCAACTGAAACGGAATACCCAGTAGCTGCATAATACGGTCAACAAGACCGTGAATGACTTCAAACCCGTCGGTTGGGCCGGTGTAGGCAGCACAAATACGACGCACATTCTTGGCACCCACGTCTGTTTTGTTGTCGATCACGACAACGTCCGAGACCTCGAACAACTTCAAACCCTCTTTAATCGACATGGCCTTGTTGTTCTGTAATGTCTTTAGCATACCGGGCAACATCGACGTGCGGACAACCTCAAATTCGATCGTGGCTGGGTTTGACAGCACCACAGCCGAGTGACCGTCGTCCTCACGGTTCAGGTACTCAAAGTTCTCCTTGTGCGAACACAGGGCGTGAGTGAGCAGCTCAATGTAGCCAGCACGACTAATCTCATCACGTAGTAGATCGCCCAATTTGTTCAGAGGCTGGGCCATACCAATTGTCTGGGTCTGAGGTATCGAGAGCGGAATGTTGTTGAAACCGTATGCAATGCCGATATCCTCAATCACATCGACAGGGTGAAGAATATCCGAGCGCGTAATCGGGACCTCTGCAACAATAGTCTTTCCGTTGCCAGAAGGCTTGGCGTTCAGCTGCATTTTGTCGCATAGCTTGCACATCCGGTCAATGTCCAGCTCAATCGGCTCGCCCTTGCCAAACAGCATTGAATAGACATCCTTGATCGCTACCTCCACCGAACGCTTGCTCAAGTCGGGCGTCATCTCGCTCGCGTTAACACTTTCATCCTCGTAGATCACACGCACAGGTTCCACCTTGAAAGGCTTCGCACAGTATTCAGAAAACATGGCGACCATCGTGTTCAGTACGACATTGGCCTTAGTCATGTCAGTCGCCGTGCACTCGATGAACACGTTTTTCGTATGGAGCGAAATCTTCGAGTGTTCACCGTTGATAACGGGCGGGAGCGACAATACCACGCCATTCTTATCCGTGATCACGGGGTACACTGGCGAATCATAGATGATGTCCGTGTATGGTTTAATATGCTTAACATCCGGATCGGTGCGGTAAAAGTCCAGCAGTTCCTTCGCCTCAAACTCCTTGTTTTGAGTCAGCGGCTTAAACTTGATCTCGTTGGGTGGAAGCGCCTGTAGTTCGGCAATACGAACAGCAACAAAAAGATAAAAAAAAAGACACGATAAGCCTCATCTCCACCTCACACTTCAACACGGTGGCTTGTGCTCACGTACACTGTACGTAAACGGTCCCTCCACCGTGTCTAGGTCGTGCGTGCCAATCGCTACAAGAGTTCGGCGACGACATATGTTCTGGTGCAGTTTATCTTGCAAGTCAATAAAGCTGTCATAGCGCTCCTGTGTGAACTGCACGTCCCGCAGTATTGCCGAGACCACGTATGGTCGCACAAGCTGCAGCAAAATCAGCAAACAAAGCGATACAATGACCAAAAACAACCCGTTAAATCTTTAGTTCCCATAAACCAAGGCAAGAGTTCCACCAACAAACCTCGGTAGATGACTTGACCAAGAGTTCGTGCGCCCCCTCCGCCCTCGGCGCCAGCGCGAACACGGGTGGGCGCTCCTTCTCCAAGAAGACGCGCAGTGCACGGGCAATACCCTCTACACACAGCAGGTCATAGCGGTTGGCCGGCACGTCGATCTTGTACAGCACCGCGTCTGAGTGAGCTGAATGGTCCTTGTCTTGGCCCTGCTGCTCGCGCTGCTTGAGCTGCTTCTCGCTTGTGATGTCGTCCAACTCGATGCCGAACTCAAAGCAGAGGACGTCGAACTCCTCGTCCGTGTACGTCTGGCCCATGGCCGCGAACAGCTCGTCGCGCTTCACCCCCACGGTTGGCATCCTCTTCTTGGCTTCTGCTTGTCACCAGTGAGTGGATACGCAGCGCTGATTCGCTGAAAACAAAAGAGCAGAAATACCTCATTTGCTCAATAGGGATATTCTGACTACGCAAAAATAGGATCGAAAGATAAATCGCGAACAGATACTCGAAACAAACGTTTGATTGAAGAAAACGATAAACTCGATGCACATGATAAACAGTATTCCTCTGGCAGAGAGAGGGGGGACCTCAAAAAACAAGCAACTCGCCAAAAAACATGTGGATAACCCTACAAGCGCAAGAACGCCAATCAAAACATGGAATACGTGACAGTCTTGCTTAGAAAGAAGAACTAGATCATAAGAAAAGCTATAGAAACTGATCTAGCATAGAATTTTCAACTAGTAGCAGGACGAAGTAAACTAGTACGAGCGTGGTCGCAGCCCGACAAGAATGGAAGGCATTATGCCGGAATCAGCTCCTGCACAACGGCAAAGGTAATGGCAATATGAACGGCGATACAACAGCGGATGATAATCATGTCGGCCAATGTTGAGCTTGCACTTGATGAGGTAGAAAGGAAACTGATATTCAAACTGTGCTGTTATGTCCTAGCTATTCTTCTCGCTATCTCGAACACTATGTCTCTGTATCTGCCGCTCTTACTAGGTCGACTTACTGTCGCTGCGCTTCCATTCGCCACCACTCCGATGACGCGCTTCCTGTCTGTTGGCAACTGCAAGCTTCTTCACCCATCTTTGCAGCCCCTTCATCTGTCGACTGTCCTCTTTTACACATGCAAACAGTTGCCGACACCACCTTGATCTGACATGTCGTGCCGCACATCGTGACTCTTCATCCCGATCTTTAACACTTCTCCTTGTCGGCGACTTACACTGCGCTTACACGACGTGTAGCAGTGAACGAAACTTAACCGTCTTGACTGCATCGAGTGCTTTGATGAGTACGTTCGCAAGCATTAGGTCGCTCGGCACATGTTGTGGCATCACAATGCCTTGATGAGCGTAGTCGCACAAGTACTTGACTCTCACATCAATGTGCTTGGCTTTAGTAGACGACACTTCTCCTTCAATCTGCCGTATTGCTGCCTGGTTGTCAATGAGCATTTTCATCAGGAGTGCAGGCAACTCACCAATTTCACTCAGCGTCTCTCTCACTCCAAAAAGCTTTCGTCCAGATTCAGACGCTGCCACAAATTCCAACTCCATTGTCGAGAGCGCCACACCTTCTTGCTTTTTCGAGCACCAGCTGATTATCATTCCATTCAGCATGATAACGCTACCGGTCAAAGACTTTCTGTTTGCCTTGTCGGCCGCGTAGTCTGCGTCACTGTAGCTCATTAAAACAGGTTGTGCAGTTTCTTCGACTGCTGGCTTCATGCTGATCTTCAATCCACGCGTGCTACTCAGATAGCGCACGATGCGCTTAGCCAATTTCCAGTCATGTATCCGTGGCTCGTGTGTTTGTCTGGTTGCCTTGTGCACCGCAAATGCGATGCCGGGTCTTGTGCGCCTCGCTACCCAGAGCAACGATTCGACAATAGACTGAAATGCACGAACGCTAGGTTGACCTGGAACACCCGTGTCTGCAAGTTGTCCGCTGTCTGCACATTGAACCTCATAAACATCTGTCCCGATAGGCGCACGACTTGAGTTGGCATCGGTCATGCCGTGGTCACGCAGCAAGTCGACAATCGCCTCCTCCTGGTCAAGAAAATATCCACGATCTTCGTTGCGCGTCACGCACATCCCCAAAAACTTCGACACTGGTCCAAGATCTTTAATCGAAAGACTTTCGAGGCTTGCGAAAAAAACCGTCAACTTCAAAAGCGGATGTTCCAGTCACCAGCAAATTGTGGTGAAGTCGATCTCACAAAATTGCTTGTATGAGTGTCGATCTTCCACTTGCCCAGACTTGCCGACTCACGGAGGGGATACTCCGATCCGTGCCTTGTTGTATGACCTTGTGCTCACCTTGTGTACCCGTCGGTTGGGCTGGCTTGAGCTCTTCGTAACGTCCTTGGGAGATGTCGATCTCGCTGAGAGGTTGGGTTGAGGGTTCGCTTCCGGTGCGGAAATCTTCACACCACGAACGGGGGTTCTGCGATCCCGATCTTGGATCGCACCGATCTTGATTTGTCTTCGAGATCGGGGTCTTTGCTGTGCGGAAATCTTCACTCAGCAAGTAATAGTCCTGCGTCGATCTTGCCTTGGGATCGGTCCGATCTGGTCTTGGGATCGGCCGATCTTGCCGGAAGTGCGCAATTTGGGTAGATCGGTGTCTTGTTTCGCCTAAATGAAACGTGCCGATCTGTCCAGGGGATCGCTTCGATCCTGCTCGGTCTTGTCTTGAACGCCTTGTCCAGATCTTCTGACCACTTGAGCCGTCTCGCGATTCTGTGTCCAAAATCCTTTTCCTTTTCCGTTGTGTGCTGCTACCCTAGCAGTTGAATTGAGTGTGAGTACTTGATCGATCCGGGCCAGATATCCCGGGATCGCTCTTCTCGATCTTGGCCAACAATCCAAGATCGGTCTTCTGTGTCCCTGTAACACGCGTGCCTTAACCCGCCGGGGAAGCCAAATCAATCTTGCCTGGAGAAGAGGGGAGGATAACGTGCGTCGTGAGCAGAAGAAGTAGAGTTCAAGTCTGTTTATTAACCAACCAAATTAATATCCAACCTACCCCTAAGCCTATTCTTAACTATAGGTCACTCTTCAAACCGATATCGCCTTAAATCTGGCTCGCCCCCTTGCCACGTGTCGAAATTTCGTGCCCTGTACTCCAATGATAGCGCCAATATCCCCGATATCGTACCTAGAGCACCAAATGGACCAAAATCTCCTATATGGTACCAAATACCCATTCTTGGCACCCAAGTACCCAATATATGACCCAAAATGCCGAATGTGTCCCAATTCACTTTGCGACGTCAATTCGGACAGCTTCCACTGGCTCTTTCGGCATGAAACTTCTTGACATCGCTTAGTGACCTCTATCAAGTATATTCCACATGATCCAGTATCTTTATCAGCCACATATTCATGATCAGTGTGGAACATGACCGATCTGTCATCCAATATCGAGATGTTGGAGGTCGATCCGGTCTAAATCGGCAATTAACACTTTTTCATCTCCTCATACGTGCTTCAATATCATCCTCCAGTGTTATCCAATCGACAACTTCATTCATACGTCTCGACATCTGTTTCCTTGACTCACCTGAGCATGCAAAAAGTTCCAGATCGGTGTATAATTAACCAAAATCAGTACTCCCAATTTAGGATCAGTAGAGTATCACCGATCCGTATGGTGTTGCACCTTCTTTGCCGATTCGCCGACCCATACCACCTGGTCCCAGATGCACTTTGGGGAGTCACCTTGTCCCAGATGTGTCAATTCTCCAACAAACCGATGCCACAACATGTCGATCTGCGATCTGATCTTAGCCTGCTTCAATGTACGTATACTTCTTCTTAACCGGGATTCCAATGAGCTGTATGACTTCATCCCGATGTCTGGTTCTAAATCGCCCCATAACATTCTGCAAGATGTTACACCTTCGTCGCAGAGTCAAATCCCATCACCCGGTCCCAGATCCTTGTCCCAGATTGTTCCATGTAAATCGTTCCAGATCGCTCCGTCCCAGGTCGACCCATACCCATTAGTCTAACGACAGTTGGATCGGTTCGCCGATCCCGTTAAGATCATCTCCCACCTCCGTATTGGATCGCCGAGTCTCATGGCCTTCTTTTCCACCAGTAAGCGGCGCTTTAAAGGTGTGGCCACCGATCCTCGTACAAAATTTGAGTAGTGAATTTGCCACAAAATCGTTCACGTAGACTCCGAAGATGACGACTTTATCGATGTCGCGCTTGTAATACAAGCAGAGGTCGCTGATGCAGCGAGTAAATCCGGCTTCCAATAGCCGATTGTTAAGCAATTGGCTCCACAATCGCCCTGCCTGCTTTAAGCCATAAAGACTTTTCTTCAGTTCAAGCACGACATCTTCAATCTTCGTTGCCCCCAGTTCTATTAACTCTCTTGTATCAATCGTCATGCCCTTGGGGACATGCATCAGAATCTCGAGATGCTGTTCCTTCTCTGCGTTTACGTAAGCATTGGGGACGTCTCCGTGCTTAGCCGGGACGCCCCATGTAGCAGCTAACGCCAAGATTGCTTTCACTGTCGTCGTGTCCATGACTGCAGCGAAAGTTAGCGCGTAGTCCACCCCAAAAACTTGTTTATTACCGCAGGCAACGAGGCGCGCTTTGTGCCTTTCCAAATCTCCATCGGCAGTCGTCTTAGTCTTAAAGACCCATTTACTGTGGAGAACGTTGCTGTTGCTTGATCGGAGTGCCAGACGCCACACTTCGTTTCTTTTGAGCACGTCCAGCTCCTCACGCATTGCTTTTTGCCACTCGTTTCTCTTCTTGCTCTTCAATGCTTCGCCATAGTTGCGAGGATCTCTGTCGAACACGTGATTGACGACATCTGCGCTGACAGCTACTTCTTGTTGGCTTGCAGCTGCTTTCTTTGCCGCACCTCTGGTCACGTGTGGCTGGTGATTCCAATGTTTCTTCTTCTTGGGCTTCTTGCTCGCAGTAACATTACTGCTCTGTCTCACAGGTGTCTCAGTGCCTTCGTCTGAATCTGCCCGGTCATCGTCATCAAGGGCTAGTTGCAGCTGCCTGCTCTGGGCTTCAGACAACGATTCAATATTCTTGACATGCTGCGTCGTGATAACCTTGTTTTCCTTCCTGATGAATACTCTGAAACCCTTGGCTTCGTCACTGCATCCAACGATCGTGCACACTTGAGCGCGGCGCGCGGACGCGTTCTTGCTTGGATCACGGTAGACAGTACAGTGGGAGCCAAACACGACGATGTTGCGCAAATCCGGCGATTTGTTTGTGAGAACTTCAAGCGGCGACGCTTTCTTAGGATTCAAATTCGTGGGGCTCCTGTTTCACAATATACGTGGAGTATTCAGCGGCATCACCCCAGAACTTTAGGGGCAATCCAGACGCGAAGATCATCGCTCGTGTCATTTCTAAAACGGTCCTGTGCATTCTCTCGGCTTTCCCATTCGACGCTTGATTTCGCGCTTCACTCACTTGTCTTGCAACGCCTGTCGATTTGCAAAACAGGGCAACATTGTGGTATTCTCCACCGCCATCTGCTCTGAGAACCGCGATTCTGCACTCAATTCGTCGCTCAAAGAACACCAAGAAGTGTACGAACTTCTTTGCCGCAGCGTCCTTGGTTCGAGCTAAGAATACTCGACAGTAGTTGGTCTTGTAATCGATGAAGTTGATCAGATATCGGTTTCCGAGTCGATCCGCAGGCGTTAGCGGGCCTTTTAGGTCCAAGCAGATGATACCGCCGATGCGGTCGATCGGGGCGTTCTGTCCAGAGTCTTTCTGGTTCTGCTTGTTTTTTGTCTGCTTGGATTTTGCGCACGTGATTCAAGTCATCCGTTTGTGTTCCGTCATCTCGATACCCGAGCTTGGATTTCTCGCGACCTTCTCAATTGCATCGTACTACAGATGCCCCAGGCGTTGGTAAATGTGTAGCAGAGAGCCACGATGCATCTCCGAAGTCATTTCATCTGCTACCTTTTCCTGAATAGCAGCCATTATGACTCCCGCTGTCTACTTTTGGCGTACACTCTTTTTCACCGTCTCGACGATTAGCACACTATTCTCCATCGTCACGTCGAACGCAACCTGGCCATCACTCCGTCGAGCTACTGATCGTTTGCCATTAGGGTACTTTAGACTGTATCCCTTTTGATCAATCTTGCCACAGCTGATGATGTTGCGGGCCAGACTCGGTGAATAGTAGACGTTCGTGAGTTTGTCTGTTTTTTCTTGTCCATTGGCAGCCACGGAGAGTCTCACACTACCGACCTTGGACAGACCGACCTTCTCGTTATCAGCTTGCGAGACTACATCATTGCAAATCTCTGCGTCGATCAGCAGGCGATCGTCGTTCACCAGGTGTCGTCTGGCACCGCTGTCGAGTATCCAGTCGTAGTTCAAATTGTCGCTGTTGTCATTAAAGCAAGAACCACCTCGCCGTCCTTCTTGGCGCTCTTGTTGACGTTCCTTTTTGACCTGCAGTCAATCTTCAAATGACCTTGTTTGCCACAATTGTAGCATGAACGCGTCTCCTTGCGACGTCTTTCATCAGTGACAGCGGCGACTATCTCGCGTCCCAACGTCCTTCCGGTCTTGTTCTCGAGCTCAACAGACTGTGCAAAATGCGCAAGCTCTTCAGCTTGGCGCAAATGATCGTGTCGGTCATTGTTGTACTTGGCCATCAAAACTGTTGTAAGATCAGCCGACGCATAGTGGACAACGTTGTCGAGAACTTTTGCTTCTGCACCTCCACCGCAGGCATCGCATACAGCAACCATATACAGGTAGTGTTCAGGCCAAGATCTCTTGGTATCTTTCCTTGCAGTGAAAAGTCTCATGCTTTGCGACGCCGTGATTGTAGTCTTGAATGTGTGTAGCAACCGGCCCAAAGCGTGATCGAGATAGGCTTCTTCGAGCCACCAAACGTCCACTTGTTTTTGGTAGTACCGCTCTGCTGTCCCACTTAGGTAGTGTCCCAGCAAGTCGACCTTGACATCTTCAGCCCATGCAAATCCGCAGGCCAGTTGCGCCATAGTGACTTGGCGCAAGAACGTGCGACCCCAGTCAGCTAAACCCGATCCGAAACCCTGGTACAGTTCTGTACCATCAAACTTGCGAATAGCAAGCTTACGTTGGCGTGCGTCCGGGACACGCAACGGCAACTCCTGCGTCGGTGCCTGCTGCATTGGTGGCACAGCCGCATGAACTTCTTCAAAATCTGGAGGCGACACTGGCGCATAGCGTGGCGCCTGTGGTCGAGCAGCGCCCGCTGGCTGTCGCGGACCGACATACCGTGGACCGAACTGCTGGAATAGCGAGTCACCTGGTTGCGTCACGCGAACACGTCCACGCGGCTGCCTCGGAGCATCATATCCTGGCGCGTCACGATGTAGAGTCGTACCGCCCAAGCCGCGTCCCAGCGCTGACGCAAAAAAGCCACTGTCGATCGCGCCTCGCAGTCGCTCGTCCTCGTCGATCTGCATCTGCGACGCCTCTAGCGCTTGCATGCGATCCGTGAGTGCAGTCAGCTTTGTGAGGATCCTTTCGTCGGTCCACTTACCCCTTTCGTGGGCTTGGGTATCGCTAACAACAGCGGCCCTTTCGTGGCTGTGGTCTGCAGGTGCAGAAGTCGTCATATCATCAGTCGGAGGAGCCATTGGGTCTTAAGCTCATAACCTGTTGGCCAGTGTTGAGCTTGCACTTGATGAGGTAGAAAGGAATCTGATATTCAAACTGTGCTGTTATGTCCTAGCTATCCTTCTCGCTATCTCGAACACTATGTCTCTGTATCTCCCGCTCTTACTAGGTCGACTTACTGTCGCTGGGCTTCCATTCGCCACCACTCCGATGACGCGCTTCCTGTCTGTTGGCAACTGCAAGCTTCTTCACCCATCTTTGCAGCCCCTTCATCTGTCGACTGTCCTCTTTTACACGTGCAAACAGTCGCCGACACCAACTTGATCTGACATGTCGTGCCGCACATCGTGACTCTTCATCCCGATCTACAACAATTCATGCAGCCTGGGAGATCCAGCTGGATGAAAGGCATGGTCCCCCAAGGAGTGGCCGCTGCCGATCGCAATTCCACACACACCTGTGCCGTGCAAGCCGACGAGAGTACGGCGCAAGAGTACAACTCATTTTATGCTTCACGGCCCATTGTTAGAATTAAAAAAAGGTGAATGAACACGTAAGCACACCCCACTTGTTTTGTTGACCTTTGTATGTGATCTAATTCATAACGTACACCAATGCATATATTTCCTCCCCTTGCACGTCACACCCAGACCTTCCTTATCCATGGAAAATATCCCCATTTACCTGACCTTTGCACAGCAATTGCTAGGTCATTTTTAGATGCATAGTCATGAACAGCTTGCTTTGATAGCTCTAGATTGTGACAGGTTTCTTCTGAAAAGGGATTGAACGAGACCAACTAGATTTACTCATTGTAGTCCTTTTAAGGGTTGCTTTTACAAGGAAGGTGTGTGAAGGGAAGCGTGTTCAGAATTCACGAATTGGCTGCGGGACAGCTATTGTTATTCGAAGAGTTGTGTAGGAAGGAGACACATATCAGGAGGCGGTTCACACGCTTGTAGGCTATCAACATTGTTGCGGTATCTACTGGTTTTGTTGTTGTCTACTGGTTTACAACTATCCACATGGTTTTTAGCTAGTTGCTTGTTTTAAAGATCCCCCTCTGACAAAAAATATTGGCGGATAGCTAATTAACCCTTCATCTTATCGCATTTGACCTTTACCGTTGTCGTACTATGATCGCTACAAAGAAACTTTCAACGAACAGCCGAGAAGTTAGTTACAAGTGTATTGAGGGAGCAGTCTTACAAAATGTAGGAGATTATATTAACGCCAAGTAACAAGGTATTTGTGGTGTGCTGCACTACAAATGTTACCCCTGGGGATGCGGAGTAGCGTGTAAGTGAACGTCGATTGTACTAGGACTGATCAAACAAGGAACAAGCATGATACAAAAAGGTTATCTTATCGGACTTGGGCTTCCGGTCGCTTGTAATGTCACAGTACAAACTACTTGCACTGGGCACGTAGTAAGATGGTGCCTTGAGACTTCACGTACATGCCTCCGGCAAAGGAACGTTTCAACACGAGAAAAGAATAAAAGTAGAACTGTATTTAGTAACGACAATCTATTGTGAAAAAAAATTCGTCCAGTCTTCATTCAGCTAGACCTAAATGCAAATACGTGTTGTAACTATCTGCTGACCACACATTGCGTTCTTCTGACGTTGCTTGGCTTTATTGTTTGATGTCGATTATCTACATCAACCAATGAGCACTGTATTACTTCTGCAGCACGATATTACATTTTAGCCGATATTATCAGAATCTTGTGTTTGTCCTAGCAGACTACTCGTACTTAATCTTTACCTTATGTATACTGTCATATAACGAAGGCACCCTGTTACAATTGGTGTTTAACTGCCTTCTCTTCTGCTGCAACACCTTCTTTCTCTTCACCATCCTCGTTCTGCAATGTGTCCAGAATATTGATCATTGATGTTTTAGCTGAGCACTCTCACTAAACTTCGAGAGCGTGAGAAACCTCTCAAAGACGGTCGAGTAGCATATGGTAGCTATTTGAGCTCGGTTTCCAGACCCTGCTGTAAAGCTCGCTCCTTCTCAATATATTTATTTTCCTACAGCTTCTTCACCCCCTCCTGCAATTGGAACATTGACATGTTTGCATAGTCTCGATGTGGGTGAATCATTACTCAATCGTGCTGGCCAAAATCTCTACCTGGGCAGAAAAATTCCAGCTTATGGCTCTAAGCTAATAAATTTTGTCAACGTTTCCAGTCTAGCCGCTTTTGTCGCAATCCAGAGCGTCCTGAATATAAAAGTGTCGCTAACAACTGTTAGAAGTGGTAGGTATGCCGGCATCCATCGGTATAACTTTCGAGAGCTCGCTATGTGGAAGAGGATGCGCGTTGATGCTAGTTAGCTGTAGATCGACCAAATGCTAATGGAACATTAGCCATTTAGAAGTGGTTGTAACCTCCATCAAACTTAAAGCACCTGTCAAGTATTTGCAATATTACCAGACCAATCCCAATACAAAATCTTGCAAACGAAAGTACATAGCTTCGTCAACATTTTGAAGCAATATTTAAAGAACTGCCACCCGTCATCCATGCTTTCACTTTGTGCCTGTGGAAGGAATCTCTACCAAATTTCTTTTTTCTTATTACAAATCACTTTCCTTGCACGGTGAAGAATGGATGGAACAGCCACCAAAATGTTTTTGTGAAAGCTATTTTTATTCACGTCTGCATGACTTTGTTCGAAAATGAATTTCTTTTGGTAAAAGTAAAATAAACGTGGAGATATTACAATGATAACAAATATTATTCCCATCTTGATCCACCCAAGCGATCGTCCAATTACGTGTCATAATGTAAACTAGTCGGGTGAAAGCTGAGTCAGCAAGGGTGAAAAAAAAACTCATTCAGACAAACCAAACTTTACAGTCTCTTCCGCATTCCACACATCATAGATGAGATTTCCCATCATTTACAGTCTTCAAATCATGTAGAGCCTTGTTTACATCCTCCACATCATACTATCCGCTTTTTCTGTACACACGTACAGGACAGAGTTTGTGGCATTCCTGGCGCCATATAGCCATCCGCGAGAATTTCTGACGTAATTATTCAGTATTAAAGGGATTCGAAACCTTTTTAAAATTAGGTAATATCAGGTCCTTTTAAGAGTTTACACCACGATGCTGGCACTGTATCACCCACGAGGCCACTGCCGTAAACCTTTGGGTGCTGTATTAGGCGATGAAGCTTGACGTTGAGGAAGCTGAGTCCATTGTTTATAGATCAGAATGTTTCATAATGACGGCAATTATGTATGCATGAGCCACGCCCTCAGTGATGTTGAGCTCATCTATCGCACAGGCGGCTTGAGACATTAGTCTCTAGCTTCAATTGACATAATGGAACTGCAATTTGCAGGCGTTGAGCAATTTTAAGGCAAGCTTGCGTCATCTGCCAGTGATGCAAAGATTTCAAATTAAAATCAGCAAAATCAAATTTCTCAATTTGTTCTATGTAAAAACAGCCAACCCCAGCAAATGACTAGGATAGCTCTTGGCTCTCACAATTTGTTTTAAAATTGGTCCAGGGATAAAAAAGAAAGGTGAGGACCTCTTTTGTTGGTCCAGGGTTCTCTGAGGCTTTGTTATTACGTTTTTTGAGAAATTTTGGGTCGGGATGGAAGAGGAGTGTGTTGTTAGGATGAAGGGTTTCACTTGTGTATCCCCGCGTAATTTATATTACTGAGATACATGACCTGCTATCATCGATATAACTATTACCCTATAATATTGAATAGGAACGTTTCTATACCATTACAATACATTATCAGCAGGTACACCGTACTTGATAGAAATAAGGGGACAGCGTTCTCCGACTGGCGTCCCGATTTTGTGTCTGGTCGATTCACCGGACCGGTTTTTGTGGTGCCATGGTTCATCAACACTTAAGCCAATGCGGATGTGACAGAGCAGAGTAACGGGGTCACACAACAGGTAAACAACCTGTGATAATGTGTTGAAAACTTGAGGCAATGTACTGTCATAAATACAATGTATATTTTCGCAAGGTAGACAGTCTATCGATAATTAGTTACCTAATCGATCATACTACTTCAGCCTATAGGACAGTACTAAGTAAGAGATGCATTCATGACTGACTGACAGGTCATTTGCCAACCCGTTGACATACTCAGATTCTAAATTAGATTACACAACCCTAGTGTAATTTACTTTAGACCGGGTTTTATTATTGTAGATAAATTGTGAATTTCGCCTTTTGGCAGGGAGATGTCATGTTTTCACGGGCTTGCTACTTTGAACAATTTGAACTATTTGTTCACTCGAAAATGTGCAATCAATTCGCTGACTAACTTTCTAGAATTTTTATCAGGTGTACTTTTCATTCTTTGTATTTTGTTTTGTAAAATCAAGGAGCTCTGCGCCAAAGATTGTATAATAGCTGAAGACCTGTGAGCTAGGTTACACTTGACAGCATTTACTGTCTACATGCCGTCATGCTACACATCCCTCATGCAGCGAATGTCTTGGGTTACTGCCACTTAGTTATGAGTAAATTTACAGCCACAAGAATACCTATTCTACAGAACTAGTGCATACTATACACTTGACGGTCCATAAGGGGATTAAATACACAAAGGGCTATGAGAAACATGTCGTAAGTGAACTGACCTCTCTACATCTTATAAGGCAGACTTAACATACTAGTGATCAAACTTAGATAATGAACACTACCTAATTACCCCACACTAAAATTTAAGCGCGATGCTATAGCTCTTAGCATTGTGCTTAAATTTAGCGTAGTACGGTGGATACTTTTCATTGGTGACACGTCACCTATTTATAGAGTTTGCCCTACTTTGTACAACTGTGTTAGCACTCTAACTACAAATGATAAGGTGGTCGAAGAACCTTGACGCTTTCCTATACATTCTTGAGTGAGATGGTGGATTCGACGGTTTCACCAATTTAAAGGGAAGGAAGCATTCAGCACTTCGATATACGACGAAGAATTCTATCGTGCACGGGATGTAGCCGCAGATGCACTAAGTGCATTAT